CCCTTTTCTCATCCAACTTTTCCTCACGAGCTTCCACAAACACGTGGTTCTGGGCCGGAGAGCGCATTGTGCGTCGACTCTCTCTCTCTCTTCACACTCTACTGCCCGTTGATGGTCTCCGTCGCCCTTTATAAGACACCCAGGTTAAGGTCCTGGCAGTTCACTTCGCCCTGTGTGCCCTTAGGGAGAGGTTGAAGCCAATACGACGCCGTTAGGAAGGAAGATTCGCCTACAGTCTTCGTTGATATTACAAGTTTTACTCTTCTTGGGGATTTTTGTTTAGCTGTTGGGAGAAGTGAGTGTTTTTGAGAGTTGCTGTTTTTTTGATTTGGAAAAGTTTGATTTTTTTTTTTTTTTTTTGGTGGGTGGGGGGGTATTATGTGAATGTAGGATATTCCATATTTGTTGTGATTGTGATTTATTTGAGGTTTTGTCTTTATGTAACTAAATCGCGTTTAAGATCTGGAAGACAAATCAATTTTATATGAAGGAGTTATCAGGAGATCTTGGAAAGAGACGAGAAATTCATGATAACAAATTTATGAAACTAATGTTCACAAATCTAAAAGACTGCGTTAATAAATGGGAAAAAAATATTATTAACAAATGTAAAAGATCACGTGAACAAATGTATAAAAGTTTGTTTAACTGCAAATAGAACTCACGTTAACAAGTGGAGAAAATTAACTGAAACAATTTTAGATAATGTATTAATGTATTATACTTATGTATGTTATACGTAATTATGATGAAATATCAAAATCTTTAATTGTTCAATCTCATTTTTTTTTTTTTTACTTTTTAATGAAAAAAATACTAATCAATAGAACAGTTAAGTAAACAAATACATTTTTTCTCGTTATAATATATCACGTACATTTGAACTGTATATATATATTTTTTTCTTAATAATGGATCAATGACAGATAAATAAACAGGTAGAAAACATAAGCATTAAAATTATCTTAAAAAATAGATATCTCTTACTTTTCTTGTTTACTCAAATTTCCTTCATTTGCTTTTATTCAGTCCTCTCTATATCAGCTTTTTTCGTGATTATCTGAATTTCCTTCTTACTGTATTTCTTCTGTATGTCTCTATTTTCCTATTTTTTCATTACCCATTTCCCCATTATTCCAGCCATCTAATCTCTATTTACCCATTTCCCATTATTTTAGCCTTCTCTTCTCCCCTGATTTACCCATTTTTCATTTTTCCAAACCCTATAATATTTTATTAATTTCTCATTCCCCATTATTCCAGCCTTCTAATCTTCAATTATTCCATCATTCCTTTATTCTTCCTCCTTCATTATCCACCTCCTTTAATCCAGTATTTCTCCCTCTCCCCTTTCATTTATTCCTGTCGTTTTTGCCTCCCTCATCCGTCCCTTCAAGATGAGGTGGTCAGGCGCGGTGTTGGCAGCGGCCGGGGTGGTGGCAGGAGCCGGAGTGGTGGCAGCGGTGGAGTTTGAACCACATGTGAGAGTGGAGAGAGACTACAGTTCTGGCGGAGGAGGTGAGGTTTATGGACTTTGGTGGGTTACTTTATTAAGTCATTTTAATTTATTTGTTTCAGTTTCATTTGTTTTCTTTTTCTTTTCTTTTCTTTTCTTTTTTTTGTTCTACTTGATTTATGTGCTTTGCCTATTCATCCCTTCGGTTGTTCACTTCATTAAATCATATTATTTATTCGGTTCATTTTGATTTAATTTATCAACTTTATTTGTTTACCTTTTTATTCACTTATTGTATTATGAGTAGTTTTATTGTTATTTGTTGATGTGACGTAGCACCAATTATTATTTAGTTAATATTATTACTCTTAATGATTCAATTTGATAGTTTGAATTATTTTTATCAATATATATGTTTTTTCTTTCTTTTTTAACTCATGCATCATCAGTTTGCTGCAGTAGAAGCAGTGTTAATATGATGCATTTCTATATTTTTCTATATTTTGTAATGACTATTATTTCTCTCTCTCTATAACTAGGCTTTACTGGGACTGGAGGCTACGGTGGTACAGGGGGAGGAGGAGGCAGTGGATATGGAGGTAAGTGTTGAATGAAGGCACTTTCTATGTTTTTATTTCCTTCAATTTTCGTGTTTTTAAGTTGCTGAATGTGTCAAATTAAAAGACTAGATTTTTATTTTTTTATTTTTTTATTTTTTGTAAATACCTGATTTAAAGATATTTAATGAAATAATGTGTAAATTTCTTTACAATTGCTGTGTAAAAATGTATATTTCGTTGCTTCTTTATAAATATTAAGTGATCTGTGTTTTTAAAGTGACTAGGAGATTCACGTATGAGGTACATTTTATCTATATAAATTTCAAAGTAAGTAAACAACACTAGACTTTTCAATATCTTTCTTTAATCCATTTTTACTTGAAATAGAATTAATGAATATATATATACCTTTTATGTATTTATTCAATAGTTATGTTTTTTTCTTATGCCACTGTCTTGGATCCTTTGAGTCTATTTATTCTAATATCTTGCATGCATTTAATTACCCATGTCTATCTATATTATCTATCGTTATTTTTCGTGCTCGATTAAATCCCTCTAGCTTTTCCCTCCTTCAGTTTTCTCATAGATATATTTAGCCTTGTTACAACGACATCATTTTTTTCCTTTTGTTTATATGTGGCAAAGACTCTCTCACACACAAAAAAATATAGAAAAAGTTAATAGATGAATTAGCAATAACTCTAAGACACAAAATAGAAGAAAAATAGTAGGAAAAAAATTGGCAGTGACCTAAAAAATATAAAAAATAAATAAATAAATAGATAAATAGAAAAAGGTAAGGTAGAAAAAAAAACACTAAACTCATGACAAAACAGACAGACAAAAATTAGCATTCAACGAGTAGTGACCTAAAGACACCATTTGCAATAACCTTGGGAATTATAACAAAAAAGTAGAAAAAATAGAAAAAATATAGCAATAAACTCAAGCAAAAAAAAAAATGAGTAACTATTTCACGCAGGTGGTGGCAGCTTCGGTGGCGGAGGATACGGGACAGGTGGTGGTGGTGGTGGAACGGGCTACGGCGGTAGTGGAAGCTCGGGTGGAGGCGGTGGATCAGGAGGGCACCCGGTCGTGATCGTCCACCAGACCAAGGGTGGAGGTGGTGGCGGTTATTCCGGCGGTGGTGGAGGAGGTGGAGGATACGGTGGAGGAGGAGGAGGAGGTGGAGGGAACGCCGCGTGTACCATCTGCGCCGCGCTGGCTCCTCTGGCTCTCCTCAGCTCCATTCTGCCGCTGCTCAGCTTCGGGTGAGTCTCTGGCAATTGGATTTCCTCCTTTCTCCCTCCAGGTGGCGCTGCAGGTGGAAGTGGTGGAGGATATAGTGGAGGAGGAGGAGGAGCTGAGGTCATCTACATCACTGAACCGAGTGGAGGAGGTCAAGGGAGTGGCTACGGAAGTGGAGGAGGAGGACATGGTGGAGGAGGAGGATATGGTGGAGGAGGAGGATATGGTGGAGGAGGAGGATATGGTGGAGGAGGACATGGGGGAAAAGGTGGAGGAGGAAAGGCAGGCCTGTCCGGTGCCCTCTGCTCCGTGCTAGCTCCCTTGGCCGTCCTCGCTACCCTGTTCAATCTGGCGCCCATTGGTATTGGGTTAGTGAGACGCGTTCGAAGTGACTCTAGCTATTTATAAATTAAAGTTGTATAGTTATATAGATAATGATAACAAAGATCGATGATATGAATGGAAATAACGTAGTAACAGTTATATAGTTATTTAGTTAATAACAAGAGTAATGATAAGGGTGAAATGCACTTTGTAAAAGTTATTTGGTTATTCAGATTTTAACAGTAATGACATGAAGGAAAATAACTAACAAAAACATATTGATAATAATGATAATATTAATGATAGCAAAAATGATAATGATAACAGTAATCCTAATAATGACAGTAATAATGATGATGACGATTATGATGAAGATAATGGTAATGATAATAAAATATGATGATAATAATAACCAACGACAATAATTGATAACGATTCCTCATCTTAATAATCACCGATACCAATTCAAACCATAAAACCAAAAACAATTGCTAACAAACAGCATGACATAAAACCGGCGATATCTCTCTCGCAGTTTCGTCACCGTCTCCGGGAAGAGACGAAGGAGGGACGTGCCTGACGAAGTGATGAGCGAAAAACTGAGGGAATTCTCTCAGGTCCAAGAATACGTGCATGAGAATTTCGATGTGGAGGCCGAAAATAACATGCAGGTAATGTGATACTTAGAATGATGTGAAGTGAAGGTGCAATGTGATGTTTTTTTGTTTTTTTTTTATGGGATGGTGGTTTGGAATTATGTGCTGTGATAATGTTTGCAATGATGTATAAGGATGGTGTGATATACTGTAATGTGATGTGACTATTTTATAAATAATGGTATGATATAATGTGAGGATATTTATGAGATATAAAAAAAATACATTTGTAGAGACAGACATGGATAATATTAATTATTTTGAAAGAAGGGTAGCATGGTTGATAAAAAGGGACATTTGTAGAAGACAGATATGGGAAGATTTCTCATGGGTACCAAGAGGAGAAAAGAACACTTATAATAAATCAATAATTAAGCTTAATCTAGAGAAAAATGTATGCGAGTATATGGCACAACCTTCCTCTTTTAGAACCTACGAAAATCAATATAACACGAATGATTTCTCGATACTGAATACATGTAACTATCTATCTTTCACAGGAGGACATTGTGGCCAAGTACCTCTCGTGCGCAGGAATGACAGACGACGATAACCACTGTTTAGAACACCTCGCTTGTTCTTTGACTGACCCAACGTATAGCCATCCCCATGCGGAAAAGGCTGCTATTAGCGCGTGAGTAGCCTTTGTGATGTAGTATCTGCTTTTTTGGGAGGTTGTATGATTATTTAATAGATGTGTTTTCTTGTTTAATAGATGTGTTTGTGGGTATTATGGGGGAAAGGAAGAGTGTTTATGATATATCAAGACCCATATCCCATTGGTGTATTCTTGTTTCAGGAGTAACTTGTCTTCGACGGCCTTAAAAATATGCATATAATCCCTCACTCTTCCTCACAGGATTCTGCACACCATCATGGGCAACCACAAGCTACCGCAGTACCTGAAGGACCGACTGGCGGCTGCTGGACACGTGGGGCGTCAGGAACCGGGCACCTGCTACCGTTTCCCCTGCCAGGACGCTGCCTCGCCGACGAGTTCCTTCGCCTCCCTGCCACAGGCCTTCTCCGACGCCTCCTCCAGCCTGAGCTTCAATATAGGGGAGGCTTCGCGACCGGGGAATGAGGTGGCGGAGGACTCGAGTTATGAGGAGGCTTATAAAGGGGGATCCTCACACACCAAGCACTGGGGGAAAACATCGAGATCTTAGAAGCAAGGAAGAATGAGGAATAAAACAGAAAAAAAGAACAAACATGATGTAATCACGTTTTTAATCTTGTTGGTGTTTTATTTTTGTTTTTGTTTATGTTTTTCGGTGTTTGTGATATAGAGAAATAGAGTTTGTCCTCATTCATAGCTGCAAAAGAAATATATATTTTGATTTGTTTAGACCAATTTACATTTATTATAGAAACTTCTTTCAAGTTCTTAATAATCAGTCACCAACACCAGTTACTATTTAAGCACCCTAATTTATAGTGAAGTTCCTATTTTTAAGGTGACACCTAGATATAGCATGTAAACACAAGACAGAATCTCTCTCTTTTTTTACTGGGCAGCACGTGGCTTCCTTCCCAAGTCGGTAATCATTGTTGACTTTTGTCGTTGATAATAAATCTGTTACATAAAAAGAAAATACTTTTTATTTGCACATACCTCGTATTCTGTTTAAAGTCCACCAAGTTGTAGTTTTACATGTACGTATGTGTGCACACTCAGATATGTGTGTGTGTGTACATACATATATATACCATAAATATATACATATACATGTGTTTGTGTGTAGCCTGAGCTTCAATATAGGGGAGGCTTCGCGACCGGGGAATGAGGTGGCGGAGGACTCGAGTTATGAGGAGGCTTATAAAGGAGGATCCTCACACACCAAGCACTGGGGGAAAACGTCGAGGTCTTAGAAGCAAGGAAGAATGAGGAATAAAACAGAAAAAAACAAACATGATGTAATCACGTTTTTAATTTTGTTGGTGTTTTATTTTTGTTTTTGTTTGTTTATGTTTTTCGGTGTTTGTGATATAGAGAAATAGACTTTGTCCTCATTCGTTGCTGCAAAAGAAATATATACTTTGATTTGTTTAGACCAATTTACATTTATTATAGAAACTTCTTTCAAGTTCTTAATAATCAGTCACCAACACCAGTTACTATTTAAGCACCCTAATTTATAGTGAAGTTCCTATTTTTAAGGTGACACCTAGATATAGCATGTAAACACAAGACTCTTTTTTTACTGGGCAGCACGTGGCTTCCTTCCCAAGTCGGTAATTATTGTTGACTTTTGTCGTTGATAATAAATCTGTTACATAAAAAGAAAATATTTTTTATTTGCACATACCTCGTATTCTGTTTAAAGTCCACCAAGTTGTAGTTTTACATGTACGTATGTGTGCACACTCAGATATGTGTGTGTGTGTATATACATATATATACCATAAATATATACATATACATGTGTTTGTGTGTATGCATGAATATATATATATATATATATATATATATATATATATATATATATATATATATATATATATATATATACTGAGGCATAGATAGATATATATAAACAAAGATATGGTACGCCAGCGAAGATCATTCATGTCTATAAGAACCAATGATTTATTCATAAGAAACATGAAATATGAACGAGCACGTGGGAACGGATATCAAGGTAAAGAAATCTACAAGTAAGTCTTAATCGTTTATGAACCATAGTCATAGTTATTAAACCAGTTGTTCTTACCTTTTTTTTTCTCTAGGAATTTGCTGTTCCTTCCACCTCCACCTTTTTGCATCTATGAAGAAAACTGCCTCATAGATTTTTAAAGAAATATAAGTGTTCTTAGTCTTTTTACTAAAAGAGTCTAACTTATAAGAAAAGGGAATATTAAAAACAAATATGTATAAGATAATAAAGTGTAAGATATCAGTTCCAAAACTTTATTTCGTGTTTGATTTCTTCTCTTAAAATTCTCATGCATTTTCGTGCCGTTTTTATCAAGATTATACTGTAGGAAAAGATTGGTAGAAATTAAGATTACTAACATGACTTTAAGTATGTATGTCACATAATCATCAGAGGAAAACAAATATAATTGAAGAAATTCCAATTATTCGCGGACTTCTTGGAAATCACTGACGCTCCCAGGTTAAGAATAACTGTATTAAAGTCATGTTAGGAATCTTATTTTCTACCAATCTTTTCCTACAGTATAATCTTGATAAAAAACGGCACGAAAATGCATGGGAATTTGTGAGAAGAAATCAAACACAAAATAATGTTTTGGAACTGATATCCTACACTTTAATATTTTATACATATTTGTTTTTAATATTTCCTTTTCTTGTAAGTTGTTAGACTCTTTTAACCTATTGTCGACGGGCATGCCATATACGTTCATGCCATGCCCACTGTGAGTTTACTTGTTTAATTGTTTTTACACATAGACGGCTACACTTGTACTAAATCACCAATGAGCCAATTACGAGTTTCGCCTGTTTTACCCTTTTCTTTGATTTACGAAAACATTTTACGTTATCTTATTTTGCTGTTACTAATGTTTTTAACATTATACTAATTATAATGATTATAATAAAAATACCACCATCGATATTCATAGCACTAGTAAAAAAATATGTTTTTTCCTGCCAATTCAAGGACAGGTGACATTTCACAAAAATATTTTTTTAAATGAGCACAGCATTTTCCCCCTTTTTTATTCATTTTCCCCGGCGGCAGTGGGTTAATAGTCCACATATACCCTTTGTAGATCCATTGTATAAAGGCAAGCAGCTGTTAGTCGGATGTTTATGAGCAAAATTCAGTGTCAAAAGATTACTTTATCAGTGAACTTTACACCATGACATTTCCATCCCTTGGGACAGGATGCCGTAACTAAGATACACTAATGTTGAATCCTCCGTGAGTATTTGCATTAGAGGTGGAGGTACTTATGCATATAGGCTGTGGACTTCATATGTTTTTACCCCCAAAGTTTGTACATTATATCTATTCTTTTTCTGAAAATAAATATGCTTTTTGGGTGAAATCCTTCCGGGTCTAAAAAAGATGAGAGAATGAGAGAACCTAAGCGAGGAAGAAGGAAAGGAAACGGGATAAGGGCAGTGGAAGGCAAAGAAACAGAAGCCAAGGTAGGTCAGGTCAGGTCAAATAGCAGGACGACGAGACAGTCTGAAATGAGTGAAAAATCAGAAAAGTCCACAGGAAATAACATATACCATTCAAACATTACTTGGGTACTCTACTCTACTCGATGACCTGTGACCCGCTAATGGCAGAGGAGGTCATTATTTGATGTGACCCCTGATAGTGTGTGTCTATCCAGGGAGCCAGAGAATTCATGCGGCGAAATATGAAATAGAATTTAAGGGTCTCGGTTGGAACATCCGGTGGTGACAGAAAACGTGAAAATATTCATGGCGTCGCCACATCTGAGGGGGGACTCGCATAAATCTCTGCTATTTTCTTCGTTCTTTTTCTTTTTCTTTTCCTTTTTTCATGGGAAGTACTTTATCTTTTAAATCAAATAATCGACAAACACAAAAGAGAGTAAATATGACATTGGAACAGACAGAGAAATTGAACAAATATTGAAGAAGCAACTAACAAGTAGACATCCTGTCTTCGAATTCTACAACTGAAAAAAATACATATTCGCCAATAATCAGCACACGCATACGTGCCTTGTCTGTCGTTCCAAGAGAATTTGTAAATGAGAAAACAACATGCCATGAGTCCCTTGAATAGGTATATGTATCACAGACCGAATGCGTATGTGGGGTTTGTATGTATGTATTTATATATATGTGTGTGTGTGTAATATACATATATATATATATATATATATATATATATATATATATATATATATATGTATATATATATAAATATATACATATGCATATACACACATATATTTATTTATTTATTTATTTATTTATACATACATACATACATACATACACATATATATACATATTCATATATATATAGATAGATAGATAGATAGATAGATATAGATATATATAAATACATCTATATTTCAGAGCGAAATGACACTCGTGCTCAGTACAGGTGCATTAATACACCTAGAAAAAGTTCATTTTCCTTTTGTATATAGTCAATGACGGTCTAACGTTAATCTTGTTGAATAAAGTATGACTCGGCATCTCTCACACACACATAATCTGCAAGTGGTAATTGAGCGGTAACTTCAGAGATGTCAATTTCCCAAGTCAGGGCTCTCGTGTAACGTTGATGAGCAGGTTGTCTTACCTTCAATAGACACGCCTACTTTCTGTCAAGTAGTCGACCGTAATCCTGTTGTGTTGATCGTGTGTGTATGTAATGCATCACTTATATATAAATATATATATATATATATATATATATATATATATATATATATATATGTGTGTGTGTGTGTGTGTGTGTGTGTATGTATGTATATATATATAT